CACACACACACACACACACACACACACACACACACACACCTCAGTCAAATGCACATACAGTCCTTTCTGAATACTTAATGTCAGAGACTTTGTCGTACTCCGTCTCACATAATTCCGTGAGACAAAGCATCATCAAAGTCCTTCTTCCACCCCAGCCTTTTTACTCTCCTCCTMCTTCTCCTCCCCTCTTTTCCTCCCTCCACCCTCCAGCTCTCTCTCCTCCGCTCCTATCTACCTGTTATCCCCCTCTCTGCTTGTCACCCAGCAGCTCTGTCCTGCTAATCCCTTCTGAAAAGAAACGACGGAGCAGAAAATCACCTCTCCACCTCTGTCACACACTCCCTCGCTCCCTTTTGTCTTTAGCTCTGGTCTTCTGTTGACCCCCTCCCCCCCCCACTTCCCCACCACCAACACCCCCAACACCCTCTTTCTCCCACTCTGTCTCCCTCCTCTCATCCTCAGCTCTCCACATTATTCATAACTCCTCTCCTCCGTCCAATTCCCGCTCTTCAAACGCTCAACACATGCCCCCCCACCCCCCGCCATCTTTAACTTGCTGATTCGATTGGGATATAATTGCCTAATTTCCCAGCCTGTCACAGACCAAACTCACCATAACAGACCCCACCAAACACATCTGGTCAGAGCCAAGCAAAATTAATGCCACCAGAAACGTACATGCATATGGCCACACGAACACTCGAGAGAACAGCGAACTGATGTGGTATGACTTATTACGCCCGCATTTGGGGGGGTAAAAATCCCTGTCGTTTGAGCCCAGTGTCCTAAAGTTCACCACTCAAACTGATCATCAAAGATACCCACAAAAAATACATTACTACAGACACTATCATGATTCAGTTGTTATTACGTGTTTTTGTTTAGTTATAGGCAGTTTCAGTCAAGTACTGTCTGTTCTTAAGGTCTTGATATCCTCCATAGTCTTTTATTTCTAGGTTCTCTCATACCACCTGTACTGCATTACTAATCAGCACACCCTTCCTGGTACATACACTGYCTGGTTTTCCTCTGTTCTCCCTCAGATCCTCTGTAAGTTTCCATACAACTTGCTGATCCTGGCTTCTCTGTTGCTAAGCTTTGATATTAAAAGTACTGCAAGCTTCCTGAGAACTGCCCCCTTTGTGTCTACATCTGGGTCCTGCTGTCCCTCACCATCCACCAAACGTGACAGATGTTGCACCCTTTCAATCAACGTATTGTGCCGCCCAACAAAGCACTAACTTTGAAAACTAATGGAGACATTTAAAGTGTTTTCAGGTCGKTTTTTTTTTTGGCATTTATTGAGACCTAGCCCTACATTTTTTGTGGTACTTCTTCTTGCCTTAKGCAGTAACCGAAAGGTAATCAGAAAACTGCAAGCCTCACAAGTAAAGGGCTCTTAGAAAAGAAAGATGTCTCCTTTAATTAGTCTAACAGTAAAATCAATCTAGAGGAATGGATGTTTTGCCAAACAGCTGTCTACCTCAGTTAAAACAGATTCATTAAAACAGATAAATTAAGCAAAATAGCCTGTTTGTTTTAATCCTGTATATGTTTTTGTCATTAAAGATCTGTTTACAGGTTGGATCAGACTGGTCTTGGTGTGTTTTAGCTCCATAATCTCATAAAATCATGGTTTGGACAAGTCAACTACAATATATGTGACCCATCATATCGAATCGAGGATTAAGTCTAAAAGTTGTGTGTGGAGAAATAGGCAGATATGGAGTTTTGGTTAAAATGCTTGCAAAAATTATATTTTGTTAAAATAGAACAAACAAATGTGCTATCAATGTATCATTTCAATGTATTGTCTGAAATATTATCCTAAAAAAATTTTTTTGAAGCACTTTTTTGAGCATCAGCAACCAAAAACCAGATTTTGAGCAAAAATGGCTTAAAATGTTGAGATTTTCCCTGTAAACTATCAAAGCTTTTGTTTCTTTCCAGCTGGGAAATCTCAATATTCAAATACTATTTGAGGTTTCTTTTTTTCAAATGACATAAACAATTCTCATTAAAATTGCATAATATTAGGATTTAGACCAAATATTTTTGTACTATTGTAACCAACAAGACAAATTAAAGACCACGTAATAAATGTGTGTTCTGAGGTTGTCACACCACAGAAATAGGTGTTAATAATCACCCAGCCAAGTTTGAACAATTAAAAATACTGTTAACCTTATAAAATTATGGGTTAAAAGTAATGAAAAAACATCAGTTAGCTGTGGTCTGGAATGCTGGGGGCGTGGCCTCTGGAGGAGCTCAAACCACGCCCACGACCCTGAACATTCCTGTAACAGAGGAAACAATGTTTGTTTTCTTTTCCATTAGAGCAACAGGGGGCGGGGTTATACTGAAGGCAGCTTCGTGACATCACAAGGCTGCCCTTTAAGACACGCCCAAAAAAAATCCTGAAACACAGATACCTTGTTACACAAATTGAATAATATCTCCACTATTTAAATATCTACAGTTGAGAGAATTTGTACTCATTTACAACAATCCATTTATGAAAATTTTAATGTTTAAAAAAGAAAATGTTACATTTTACTTTACACGGTCTTTAAATATCATCTCTGGATCTACTAATGATATCAGGATGATAAAATGTAGCTTTTAAAGCCAGGAATCTGATAATATGATTTGGTCATTTTGACCAAATTTGACTTAATCCTCATTTCGATGTGATKGGTCACATACTGTATGGAAGAGGAATTACCACTTCATTACTTTTTATGGTCTGTTTTCTGTTTGATGGTATAACCGCGTTAACCCAACATTTGTCAGACTTTCTTGGTGTCACACTGAAATTCATCTAGTATTCTTGAGCATCATTTCTCAACTTATCCAACTGAGCTAGCTCTTTTTGTGTTAGCTAAYGTCAATCAGCTGTGGTGGCCATCTTGAATCGGGTGGACTCAAAAAGGTAATACATTCATGCTAACAGACAAACACTTACACACTGACAATTACTTGTCACCTACCCCAAACTAAAAATCTATGAGCTCACACCAAACACACACAAAAAAGGAAATTTTCATTCCAGAGTTTCTAACTGTTGTGAATAGAAAACTGCAGTATTTGATGCTCGAGGGATTGAGGACAGCTGGGCGTCGACTGTATTTACACCAGCTGGGGAGAAGCRGTAACAGACGACGCTTCCCACCAGCCACCACCTACGTGCTTGAAGTCCTTGAAAGGGACAAACTGGACGATGTCGCGGAGGACGGGCTCGCCTTTGGGCGAGCGCAGGATCCCGTCGTCCCCGTCGAGGATCTGCATGTCGGTGAAGTCGGCGTTGCCAACGCCGACGATGATGACGGACATGGGCAGGTGAGAGGCGTGCACGATGGCCTCCCGCGTGTCCGCCATGTCGGTGATGACGCCGTCCGTSAGGATCAGCAGGATGAAGTATTCCTGGCGGGACGCAGAGCAGAGATAGATGGAGGAAGTGAAGACAAGCAGTTCAATGAAAGCGATCATTTAAACGTTGGCTTCTGGTCAGGAGCTGATTTAAGCACAACTCATAGTGATCCACTAGAGAGCTCGAGAAAATGCTGTAGGCATTAAAGCAGGAAGGAATTTATGCTCTAAATTTATAACCTGAATTAAATAAATACCAATCAATCCCCTTCTACTTTGTCAATTCTTWTCTTTTACTCCCTTTACCCAGTCTGCCGATGCAAAAGTGCAAACAACAACAGCAACAAAGGGTTTGTTTTAAAACATATTTCATATTTTCCATTCTCTCTCTTACCATGGCCTCTTTGGTGTGCATCTCCTCTGAGGCAGAGGAGGCCACTTTCTGGATAATTGGGGCGATGTTGGTGGGACCGTACAGCTGGATTTTAGGAAGGCAATTCTGGTAGGCCTCCACCACGCCTTGGATCCCTGCGAGACACGAAAAGAAAGGTTCCCGCTGTAACGCATCAAGTAAAAAACCTCAAAGACTTGCCCATTATTTCAGAATGCTTTACGCTGATGTCAGTTTTTGATGTGTTCAAGACCTACTGTAAGATGTTAACTGTTCATAACTGAATAGAGAAATAGATTTGTCTGAAAATGGAGAAATGAAGCGAAGTGCTGAACGACTATCAAACTGACTTGTAAACGCTAAAAGAAGCAGAACACTAGCTAAAACCAAAACAATTCAAAAGCTAAAAATGGTAAATGTTAGCTAAAAGTATTGAAACACCACCTTAAAGCTACTTAAAAATCTTTATTAACAATTGAAATACAGCAAAGACAGTATATAGAGTACACATAAATTATATTTCTCCACCAAAGAACCTTTTTGTAGTTGGATATTGYCACAAATGCACATGCCAGAAGTGGGCTGACCAATCGTTTATCAGGAACGCTAAGGTTGTTTTAGAAACACCGTTGAAATTGAACAAATACAACCAGTAAATTTACACTTTTATACAGACCAGATTTATTCGCTCTAAACTATTTTTTTTTAAATTTTCCTTTAAGATCATAGGTGAGATTTTTTTTATAAACATATAAGCTATAAATATGCTTTTTGAGCTTTTTTTTCTTAAGAGCCAGGCTCTGCTATGCACATACACAAAAATTACAAAATTGTCATTAAATTTAAAAAATAAATAAATAAATAAATAATCCAGTGTTTATATTACACACATGGCAAAATATCAAATACAAGAAAAAATTTGTGTAAAAAGTCTATTTCAATTACCTTGAAGCTACATGAAGCAAAAGACAAGCTAATGTAATAAAACACTAACTAAAAGCTAAAACTAGCAAAATTGAAGCTATAAGTTAAAAGTAGCAAAAGGCTAATTATAAAAAAAATAAAACCAGCAGAAGAAAAACAGATAAAAACTCAAATTTACAAATAGGTAACTGAATGTAACAAAATGCTCGCTAAAATCTAAAAATAGCTTACTAATAGTTAAAAGTTTAAAGTAGCAAAACAGTAGCTAAAAGTAGCTGAAAAGTAGCTAAATATTAAAAGTAGCACTAGGTTAATTAAGTTACAAATGACAGACTTGTGAGTAACAAAAAAAAAAACCTTCTATATTTTGTTTTTCACTCCAATTCCCGTTCTGTAAATTCCGCTGCTGCGCCGACCTCGCAAAGTCAGAGTTGTTGTACTCGCAAAAGTATTTGCTACAATAAATCAGTCACTCCACGTGTGATTGTCCTCCAAGGTGACTGAGCATTTTTCAAGAAGCGTTCCCTCATGGTGCACACAAACATGTGACGCCACACACACACACACGTGTGCACACACACACACACACACACACACACGTGCGCACACACTCGTGGCGGACTCTGCAGCTATGCGGGGAGAGGAGCACAGAAGCCCATTTCACACATAGAGATTAGTGTTGTTTTTCTCTGTGTCGAAGAGCCTGAAATACATCCTACAGCATTGTGACAAATCTCCCCGCTGCATTTAGGAGAGTGTGCTGAAGTGTGCATGCGTGCTTGTATTGCTTTGTGCGGGGGGAAGGAACCAAGCCACAGAGGGAGAAATATGTGGGTGACAGTGAGGAGAAGATGAGAGGCTTGCAGAGGCTACATTACAGAGTTGTTGCTTTTTTTTTTCTTGGGCTTCTGTGATGTGTGCATGCGCATGTAAAAAGCCTACAGAAGCAAAATCAAGTGTGTTTCTGTTTGAGGAGCGGAAGCTCACCGGCACATTCAGGATTTTCCTCATCAAAGTTCACAGCGAAGTCATGTGAAACCTTCAAGCGCGGAAAAAACAAGAGAGAACAGGGAGAGCCTTTTATTATATAAAAAAAAGTGTCACAAACCCAACGCTCAGCACATGTCAAGCCCAATTTACACATCGAAGCATGAATTCTGCCCTTTCATCATAATCAAAAGCAAAAATCTTTTATTTAAACCATTCAGAACCAACCCCCGCCCCCCCAATCTATGCTTTACTTTCAACCCACTCAAACATCCTACCTTGAAGTCMGGTGGAATAAGAGCTCCGAAACCAAACGCGGGGAACATTTTATCGCTGGAGAACAGAAAAAGAGACGTGACTCACCAGAGGAACACAGCACACAGAGGGAAGGACAAATAATGGACAAAAGCTTGGGCTTTCTGAACTTTGTGCATATAAATAACTCCACACAGGAAAGGATTCTCAAGGAGAAACCCATCCAGTAAGAGCGTTTTGATGAGTGCGTGTCAGCGTGAGGTGAACGAGGATTGATGCGAGYGGACTCAACCTGTCATAGTCTTGGCAGATCTCGCCTACAGCCACCAGCGCTTTCAGGTACTCGTTGGGCTGGTAGGGGTGGATGTAGTGGAGGGAGCAGCTGTTTCGCGGGTCCCCGTTGGACGCCGTAAAGTCTATTGCCACCTGGGACAGGACACAAAGACAGCCAGGGTGGGACAAGCAGACAGGGGGTGTGTAGGTATTGATAAATCTGTTCCCTTTTTGTGAGAGCGTACCGTGAACTGAATCTGGCAGCCCCCCATGATGTAATCCAGGAAGGAGTACATTTTGATGATCTGTCAGGAAAGATCACTTTAATTAACGTTTTGTGTCGTTTCCTCTGGATCAGAAAATGACAGAAAATACTTTTCATTGTCTCAGAAGGAGAAGTGCTTCCGCAGTTGCTGACTTTTCACATGAACTGCRACGGTAAAGTAGGAGCAGTGTAATAAGCACATGGTCACAAACGTAGGTAAAGACAGATTCACATGGAGGAAAAGTCTGGTGATTTTTGAAGTGATGTTCTGTCAAATAACCATCATTAAGTAAGCAGGGGTTGCCCTCCAAGGGCCAAAGGTTCCTCRTCTCATTGCTATGACTGAGCACTGCTAACAAACAAAAACTGAGCTCTACATGGTATTTTGTGCACATGTAAAACTTTAGTATATGAACTAATTAAGCTCAGTCTAATTCATATTATGCCTGTTTTATTTTTGCTCATATGTGAGTTTATTTTAAGCGAGCTATTGCAGATGTCGGGAGAACACTCAGAAAACAACTGGGTACTAGAATACCTTACTGCTGCTGCCATGAATCTGTACACATGTCTACAACTGAGTGTAATTGGACCCTGAGGGTTAGAGCTGGTGGAACTGGGTTATGCTACCCCACCAATCTGTAACTGGCCAACACCTGCTCCAAAMGAGTGCCTCCTTTTCTTACCAACTAACAACACTGGACACAATATTGTCAGTGACTGTTTCTAAATTTCATCATAAACTTGCATCAGCTAACGTAGCTATCTCTTAGTGTCAGCTCTATGTAAAAAAAATAAAATAAAAAAAGTTTGAACTCAGGGGCATTGGTATAGAGCTCCAGGGGAACATTTGGACATCTCCACTCTGCAGACATACCCTCAGGCATCGCTGCCTAAGTAGTCCGGGCTGGATCTAAGGCGAGATGGTCGGAATCACAAACTTGAAACACAGAGACTGATTTAAGAGTCAGAGCTGAGATTTAGAAAAGTGTATAACAGTGACATAATTTTGGATAATAACGATTTTATTTTCGAATAATGGTTAAATTTATTACTTGTCCCGAGGGGAAAACAATGACATATCTCAAAATAAGCTGATAAATATTTCATTTTTTTAGGTTGTTATGCACTGATGTGTGAAAAGACCAAAATGTCTAATAAACCTTTTAAACAACTACGTGTCGTAGACAAGCAAACCCCATTTTTACCACAAATGCCAAAATCAAAACCTGAACCTGATTTCATTTGAATCCCTTCAGAAGTAGATTGCTTCTAAAAAATGAAAAAGGAGAGAAAAACAATCTCTTTGTTTCACCATGAAAACCAGGGCGAAAACATTTAACAGTTGATCAAAATTTGACTAAAATAACAATTATCATTGATTATAATAATGTGCAACGTCACCTTGCAGTGGTTAAGCATGACTGTGCCAGAGTTTCTGTAATTCTTCTTCTTGATCTGGTATTTTGGGTTAATGCATTCCCACTGGATCTGTAAAAAAACCAAAAACAAATGGAAGAAACGTGTTAAATGTGGGSAGAAGAGTGAACTGTGGGCCTAATAATATGAGCAGCACATGTGGATATTAAGTGTGCACCTTCCTACCTGCTTGCCCTCCTGCTCTGCCCTCATCATGTCTTTAAATGTGGTCTGAAACTCGCCAATAAAGTCGTGTTTGCCGTTGGAGTCCCAGTCCCAAACGGTGCACTGGGGCAGAAAACAGACACATACACAAAATGCACACATCCACTTGGAGTACAGCAGACACACACATAAACAAACGCACGCACACTCGCAGAGAAATGCCATGCTGAATGATTGATGGGGTGCTGATGGTGGGGGGGCCATGGAGCGGTGAAATATTAATCTGAGGATGCAGAGAGGCTTAAGAGACAGCTCTATCAGCATCAGTGTTTAGATGCAATGGCCTGGTTCTCTCAAAGGAGCTACCTGACAATATAAGTGACTGTGATGGAGCGAGGGTCAAAGAGCACAGGCTTAATGTCTTTTAAAAAGCAATCTGATCGTCTCGTAACGTGACAAGAGACACCAATCTACAAACTGTCTCACAGAGTTTACAAACTCTAACTCATCTAAAAACAATTCATCTAAAAGTTTTCATATTTCATGCTTTCAAAATGTTTTCAATTGTTTGGTTTTGATCCTTTTTAGACTAGCTGTTAGCTTGTAAATCCAACAACAGGTCAGATATTAATTGTTCATAACTGATCTGTATTATTAATGGGAGAAAATCGATTTGTCTGTGAAAATCCAGTAAGAATGTTGAATAATGGATGACASCTGAAATTTGCTGAAGAAGCTAAAACTGACTTTTACAAGCTGAAAGAAGAGGAACACTAAACAAAACAAAACTAACCCAAAAGCTAATAGTGCTAAATGCTAGCTAAAAGTAGAAGACACTACCTGAAATTACAGTAGAACAAAGACTTCACTCAATATAAAGTATACTTTATAAATGATACGTATATGTCTCCATTAATTACGGAAAGAGCTAAAGAAATAAAATAGAGAGATGGAAAGCAGCATTATGATGCTTCAGTACTAAATAAAAATAATAATTAAATAAAAATTCTGTGTTTACAATATATACATGGCAAAATATCAGTAAGTCCAAGTATGAGAAATTATTTTTCAAATGTTTTTAAACTACTTGAAAGCTACATTTATAGCAAAAGACTGTAATAAAACAATGGCTAAAAGCCAAAACTAGCAAAATGATAGCTACATGTTAAAAGACAAAAGCTAAAATTCACAAAACAGTAATTAAATGTAACAAAATGCTTGCTAAATATCTAAAGTAGCTTACGGCTAGTTAAAATTTTGAAGTAGCAGAGCAGTAGCTAAAAGTTTAATGTAGTCAACAAATAAAAGTAGCTAAAGTTATAAATAGCAGACTGGTAAATAGAGAAAAAAGGTAACTTAAAGCAATAAAACCTTAAAGTGGGTGAACTGTAACTAAAAGCTAAATATAGCAGAATATTAGCTACAAATTAAAACAAGCTGAAGGTTAGCTGAATGCTAAACCTAATAGAATAACTATAAGCTAAAAGTAGCAAAAGGCTAATTAAAAAGCTAAAAGAGCAAATACGCTGAAGCAGATTTCTAAAATATTGTTTTTCAAGCTCTCTAAATGCATTTCTATGAGGCAAGTATTTGTAGGTAAAGTTAAATATTTTAAATAGTATTAAAGTGTCATAGCACCCATCTACCAAATGAGTTGAACTCTTTGATGTATGAATGGTTAAAGTTGTCCATAGTATGTAGAAATAGTTAGACTGCAGAAAGCTTACAGAAAATACATTTAAAAACAATAATGAGAATGCTGAATCAGCATTCACACAACTAGAGAAGTAGCAGATGCCCAGAAAAAGCCCCCGAGTCTGTCCTGTAGTGGCACAGTGGCTCTGAATCAGTCAGTTTGCTGTAGAAACTCATGACCCTCTTATTTACGGTCAAACCAGCAACCAGTCAAACAGTGCTTGATTAAAAACAAAGACAGCAATAATCCTCTTATTTCCTGTCTCCCACTTAAGCCGCTGAGAGCCCTGACTTGAAGTGTGTGCCCTTTTTGTCATTGTGTGTGAACCATGAGTTGTTTTTTATTATTTTTTTTTTTTTCTGACACTAATTTCTGCGTAGGAGGGCAGCCTTGCTCCCACTTCAAGTTGCTGAGAGGCGCGCAAGAGACTAATGAAAAAATGAAGAAGCTCAGCTCCATTCACTGAATACTAACCGATGGAGAGCGGGAGAAACCGACGAGGGGAGGAGTACAGAGGGCTGAGGACACGAGCGAGGAGAAGTACAAAGGAAGAGGCAGCCAGAGCACTGCAGAGGAGATGTTGTGCATCAATGCACTGGTCAATTAGGACCCTGGTGAAAAAGTCTAAAAATAAAAATAAATCTCTGCCGTGCCATTTCTCACTATAGCGGTGATGCTTCAAACAGGTAGCTGTGGAAACCATAGAAATAAATACGTAGAAGCCTCGTTGACTGTGTCGGTCCGCTGCTGTGACAAGCTGTGCGTCCGCCATATTGGAGGTGGCACCGCTGTGCTGTGAACTTACTACAAATGAATGGACTTTGTTTCATAATGCACATTTTAACAGAGATTTACGTTAATACGGCACCATCATTTATTCAAACACACACACACATGCTCACGCACACACAATTTGAGAAAAACAGGTACCAAAAACAATGTATTAAAACTTCTTACAGGACTACAAAATACAACTTTATTGATCCCACACACAATTAATTTATGTTTCAAAAGCTGTAAAGGTAAAGTAGTGTAAAAATCAATTTATATTACACTTTGTACTTACAACGGGTAAAATAAGTAT